CCGCCCCCCCCCCCAGCCAATGGGCCAGCGAGGCCCCCCCACTCAAGTTGGCACCGGCAGCCCCTGGGAAACACAACCCCCCCCAGGTCAGAGCCCCTCCCTCTACCCACCTTTCATTCCTGTTAAATAAAACAAGTTTTGTTTGGTTTCAAGATAGGGTTTTTATTGGAAAGTGAGGGAAGGGGGGAAGGGAGGGGTTGAGGTGGGGGAAGGGATGTGGCCGCAAGGCAGGGTCCCCTTGGTAGGAGGGGCACCGGCAGCCCCTGGGAAACACAACCCCCCCCAGGTCAGAGCCCCTCCCTCTACCCACCTTTCATTCCTGTTAAATAAAACAAGTTTTGTTTGGTTTCAAGATAGGGTTTTTATTGGAAAGTGAGGGAAGGGGGGAAGGGAGGGGTTGAGGTGGGGGAAGGGATGTGGCCGCAAGGCAGGGTCCCCTTGGTAGGAGGCCCCGGGGGACAGTTACGGGGATACCTGCGAGAACCTCTCCCACAGGGCCTCCCAGATGAGCACCCTGGCCTGCTGGGCCTGCCAGACGGCAGCTTTCCAGAGCTGCTCATGCGCACAGCCCACTTGGCCGGTGTCTGCACCCCATCTCAGGAGGAAGGCCTCCCCCTTCCTCTCCACAATGTTGTGGAGGACACAACTAGGGTGGCCAGGTGTCTGGTTTTGAACCGGACAGTCCAGTATTTGAGCTTTCTGTTTGGGAAACAAATTGAGGAAATAGAAGTGAGAAAATAGAACTGTTTGGTATTTCCTCAATAAGATGGAATGTCGATTGTGATGTCATGTCAAGTGTGTCCGATATTTTTGTTGAAACCATCTGGCAACCCTCGGCACAACATGCTGAGACCACCTTGGGGATGCTGTGCTCCGCCACGTCAAGGCGGGTCAGCAGGCAATGGAACCGCAACCTTCTGATGGCCGAAAGTACGCTCGGCTTGGTTCCTGGCCCAGTTCCGGTGGGCATTAAATTGTTCCCTGCTGGGGTCCAGGTGGCCCGTGTAGGGCTTCATAAGCCAGGGCCTGCGGGGGTAGGCTGCATCCCCCACGATGCACAGTGGCATCTGCACATCCCCAGTGGCTGCGGGTCAGCAGGCAATGGAACCGCAACCTTCTGATGGCCGAAAGTACGCTCGGCTTGGTTCCTGGCCCAGTTCCGGTGGGCATTAAATTGTTCCCTGCTGGGGTCCAGGTGGCCCGTGTAGGGCTTCATAAGCCAGGGCCTGCGGGGGTAGGCTGCATCCCCCACGATGCACAGTGGCATCTGCACATCCCCAGTGGCTACTTT